TTTTGCCTACTCTTATCACCGTCCAAAATTCATCGCACGGTCATGATTGTCCAGTAGTATTTCATTTTTCATTTTTTTTTTACAAGTCGGAATGATCTGAAATTTGGAGCGTACGTCAATCTTAGTGAGGTGCATCTAATAAAAATATAAAAATCAAAATACCCTCGAAACATTTTGGGGGTATTTTGGTCAATTTTTTTTATGTAAAATATTTTTTTGATATTTTTGGTAGATTTACCTATGTTTGATGAACACACGCTCTAAATTTCAGGTCATTCCAATTTGTAGAATAAAAAAAGAAAAATGAAACACTATCGGACAATCGTGATCATGCGATGAACTTTGGACCGTGATGAGGGTAGGCAAAATCACTGTTCATTTTCGCCGATAGGCGTTTTGTAATATCTTCCATATATATATATATATATAAAAACTCATGACAAAATATTGACAAAACTACCCTTGAAACATTCAAAGAAATTTTGATGCCGCGTGATGTCCCAATTAAGTTGATTGGATTTGTAAGAAAAGTTAAAATTCAAATACTGTACACATTCATCGCCATCCAATTTCTACCCTTCTAATCTGGACGGTTGGGTATAGGCTATTGTTTACATTAGTGGGCGTTCTATATCATACATACATACATATATTCACATATACATACATGAAAAAGCTTATCTGAGCCACTAGGTTAATGCTATAGAAAAATGCGCCCAACAGCCAAAAACTAAAATAAAATAGAAGTATTTGTTTAACCTCTTTTTTTGCACACATCCTATTTGCCCTAGTTAACACCCAGTAAGAAAGGGTTTTTGGAAAAGGTCCCTAAAAGTGGCTTTCTAAAGAAGAAAAAATTGGGTTAATGTAAGCCATCTGTATTGGTGCATGGTTAGATCTAGGGTTAGATGTGATCACAATAAAATCTTTTTTCTTTTCTGGCTATTTATCTTGTTTTTTAAGACTATACCCAATCTTCGGGGTTAACCATATCGTGGGCGATGGTCAAATTGATGGTGGCGTATTGAAAAATAGGTGCATGCAAGTCTTCCCCATGTGTGCCTGTGCATGCGTGTACGTGCGTGTATATGTGGGTGCATGCATTCATGTGTGTGTGTGTGCATGTGTGTGTCTTCTGATGCTTTCATTCTGGTTCATTACTTAATATGAACTCCTTTGTTGAACTCTTTGGTCCACATTCTAAATTTGAGCTCTTATGGTAGGGTTTTAACATTAGCAAGGAAGAGTTGGATGATTTCTTTGGTGGACCAGCCTTTCTTGCCTGGGCACGCATGGGAAATTTACATGGGTAATTAGTGTTCTTCTTGATGGCTGATGGATTACATATGTATAATTACACTGATGCAATAAGAAAGATTCATGGGTAATTTATATACACTTAAATTAATATATGGAGCATTACGACTTGTTTGTATAGGGTTCTAAATTCTTGATTATTCTTATTCTTTTATATTAAATGATATTTGGGGAAAGGTCTATCATTTGATTCACAGAAATGTAGTGATAAATCTATTCAATCTGGACTTTATCATCATACTAATGTTTTCAAAAGTAACATATTAGGATAAAAACATTTAATATAGTTTTAATATAAAGTTATGAAATTATCAAATTACTCACAAGTGCTATCCACGAGGTAATATTTCATTTATTGCATGAAAAAACTCATTATGGAGATATATGCTTTCCTCTTTGTTCAAAACCTTGTAAAATTTTCTCTGACTTGCTTTTTGTGGCATGATAAAAACATTTAATATAGTTTTAATATAAAGTTATGAAATTATGAAATTACTCACAAGTGCTATCCGCGAGGTAATTTTTCATTTATTGCATGAAAAACCTCATTATGGAGATATATGCTTTCCTCTTTGTTCACAACCTTGTAAAATTTTCTCTGACTTGCTTTTTGTGGCATGATAAAAACATTTAATATAGTTTTAATATAAAGTTATGAAATTATCAAATTACTCACAAGTGCTATGCACGAGGTAATTTTTCATTTATTGCATGAAAAAACTCATTATGGAGATATATGCTTTCCTCTTTGTTCAAAACCTTGTAAAATTTTCTCTGACTTGCTTTTTGTTCAAAACCTTGTAAAATTTTCTCTGACTTGCTTTTTGTTCAAAACCTTGTAAAATTTTCTCTGAGTTTCTTTATTGTTTTTGTTTTTTTTTGTTCTTTTTGTCACTCTTGATACTTCTCCTCACGTAAAAGATAATGAAATGCTTGTTTTTATGTTAAAACAACATTAGCTGTAGTGGCTGTTGCATTCACTGTTGTGGTGCATTATCTTGAAGCACATGGTACTCAGATTCATGCTCTGAGCATGCTACCTATATTGTAATATGTACTTTATATGTAGGATTGTATTCCACATGTTTTTAACATATTCATTCTTTTTCTCCTCAATATTTGATTGGTGCAAACCTCATGCGACACCTTTTTTTGGATTCTGGCATTTTGGCTATGTTACAAGGACAAAGATACCAGAATCTATGTCTCTGACTCGCCTACCTATATTTTGCCATTCTGTATATATTTATAAAAGAAAATTAGTTTGTGATTTCTTAATTATAAAATTAACTTAACTAAAGGAAACATGTGGGTCCAAATTATAGACCTGCTGTTCAAATCATAAGATACACGCAATCACATGTCTAGCAAAATAAACGTGTCTTACAATGCAGACACATGCCTTCCAAACAATGTTGCATGGATATTGACACAGGTGTTGTATCTATGTTTAGGTGGTTTTTTGATACAGCATGAACTTTGCCTTGATATATTTTTGTGAAAGACTAACCCCATTTCAATACACATTTAAGGTGAACCAGGCACCCTCATGCAAGCTTTACACTAAGTATTGAGCCTATAATCTGCTGCTCAATATTGGGACAATTCTGTGGTCTTAGGGTTTTGCGTGTAATTTGTGTCATCTTTTTTGCTGGTGACTCCCTTTTGATATAATCAAGGAGTTAAGGTGCACTCCCTTGAACCTAACTTGCTTCATATAGCTCCCCTTCAGTGCGCTCCGATGCACATTGCACACTTTGCCAAATACCTTCTGGTATATTTACCTCTAGTATACTCCTTCAGTGCACCCCTGTGCACAAGGAAATATCCTTTTGTTAGTCAAAACCCTTATAAATGCACTATTGAGAACAAACCCCATTACTAGAACTGATAATTACCCAAGATGGGTGTCATGAGGACCGAAACTATGTTGCATGTTTTGTGTGAACAAATAATACAATCCGCTAAGGACATTAATCACCTTGTTGTAAAAAGTCAACATGATGCAAAAGAATTACTAATGATTTGCTGGAAAGATAAGTTGGACATCGTCCTTTTCTCGCCGATAAGTCACTTCTATCGGGAAGGATAAGCACCCTTCATCTGTAAATGTAAACCTTAATCCCATCAATCTTCAGGATAAAGATCACGATTTTGGTTGGAAGAACTTGAATCTTTTAGTGACCCTACTCAACTAAATTGGAAGATGAATGGCCCTTGAGCAATATTGTTGCACGTGTCTTAATTGATTCGACATGTAGAAACATGTGATCTCCATGACGCATGGAGGCCAAACTACCTTGCTACCCACTACTTCACTACACCACAACTGCTGAGCATGTTGATAAACCACCCAGCTGGAGCACTTCATCGTCTACATAAACAAAACAACCACAAGTGCAGGATAAAGGTGGTTACGCTGCGTGGATGAGTCGTATGAGAGAACAATACAGCAATACTCAGAGCCAGCAAGAAGACAGTGGAAGACCCTTCATATGCGAAGGACGTGTACTATAATTTTCTTGTATGCTTCCTTGTATGAGCCACTTATAACTGATTACACAATGTTATTGCATTCCTCCATAACTAGAGGCAGTGAATGTAATGACTGATGAATAAGGTGTCTACAGGTGCCTTAGGGTTGGTTTACCCATAAATAAAATAGAGCTCTGTTCAGGGATTTCCTTCCTGTCAGGGTGTTGTTTGTGGTTTTTGAGTTGTGTATGTGTATTGTTGCAATCGACTTAAGAGCCCTCCAAAGAATTTAGTACGTGTCATTGGTATCTAGGACTCTAGGTCAAAAAATTGTATGATAAGAGTCTCATATCTCAAAATCTGAGTTTGATCCTGCCGAAGAAAAGTAAGAAGGAGGGCAGAGCTCCGCTCTAATAAGTTACTCCAATGCAGTTCGTAGTGGTTTAGCCTTTGCAGAGGAAGGGATAACTAGAGCAGAGCCAATTGAATTGCGAGGGTGTAGTAGGGTAGATTCAAATTTAAGCTATTCCATTAATATTCTATGTTCCATGCTTTGTATGAAAATCTTCACCGCCACCAAAGATTAAGGCCCACATGGTAAGCGTTTTATGACCCTATTAAAGGCCACCTTCAATGTGATGTGACCCTATTATAGACTTTTAAATTTTAAACTATTCAAATAGTATTCCATAGGTTATATGAAAAGTTTCATTATGTTGTCACCATAAATTAAAGGCCCACATGGTAGGCGTTACATGACCCTACTAAAGCCGTCTTGGTTTAAACCTGAACTGGGGAATGGAGTGGTTTTTAATGACCTTGTTTAATATAAAAAGGAGGATATGCCGTGTTGTTAAAGCTTACATTTCTTGCAAAAGTGTTGTTATGTACTACAATGACTATAAATAACGCTACACACTTGAGTAGAGTGTTTGACGTGTCGATATGTGTTGGCATACGATACAAAAGAAATGTAGGAGTGCCTATGTAACACTGCTTACGGAACCCACAATTGTGTCTTATTTGCCCAAAAAATGGAGATTTGTAGACCGCCGCTCATGTCAGTATGGATTTTTGCGTCTATAAACGTGTTTTGCATGCTGACATACATATCTAGTGTGTTGGCATGCTGGCTTCTCCTAAGCGTATGTGAAACACATAACTTGTTATATGTGGCTTACTATATAGATGAATATGATGCAAGGGGTCTTACAGTTGTTTTGAAGTTAATCACTCTATTGTCCAGGTCTCTTAATATAAATTTTATAAATCTCTTGATGGTCATGCAAAGAGAATTTATATCTTGCTACTTGTATTTATTGTTGCAATATTAGGAGCTTTTAGGCTTTTCCCTTTGTTTATTGTTGTGCTGTTGGATGTGGACAGTCGCACACACATATATTTAATGTATTTATGTCAGATGTATCTGTGCATGTATTGCACATATCTATGTTTATATTTGTGTACGCACATGTACACCCACAAATGTGTATTTATAAGTCACTGGATGATTTGAGGTATTAATTGTCTTATCACAGTTGGGGTGGCCCGCTTCCACAGAGTTGGCTAGATGAACAATTGGCTTTACAGAAATGTATCCTATCTCGTATGCTAGAGCTCGGCATGACTCCTGGTATGTTTCAAAATCTATGATGTGAATGAGTTTTATGGAAAAAAAATGCAGGTGAATTGTTGTTTACTGAACAAATATGTGAAACAAATGTTTCATGGAAGAGTTGCAAGACGTGGCTGAGTAATTAAGTGAAAACTTCAGCTGAAAATACTTGAATATCCTCAGCAACTTTGTTAGATGTTGTTTTTAACTCTTTGTAGGAGTTGACACGAGGACTTGGTTTATTGTCATCAAGTCTTTTGCATGATTGTTGCCTAAATTGTCTTCTCACATTAGCATTTCATCATTTTTTATGTTATTTTAATTAAAAGAATCATGTTCTAAGTAATACGTAATCGCCCTTGCTACATTTACGATTGCAAGCACATGGGATCAATATTCGCAAAATCGAACCGGAACGGTTAACCGGACATGGCCTGGAAGTGGTTTAATCAGTCTAACCGATAAACTGGTCGATTCAACCACTTTAACTGGGCAAGTCTCGGGTGGTCAAAAATTGTTTAAAAAAAAATACAAAACAAATATACTAAAATATGAAAATCATATAAAGAATGATTAAATTAAACACATTCAAATGAAGTTGAAAATTAATGAAAAAAATGGATTTTGACCCATTTTATATTTCTCAAGGGCAATTTTTAGAATTTTCTAAAAAAGATGGGAAAATATAAAAGTGAGTATTAATGACCAAAACAATTTTTAATCTTTACCATAATGTAAAGAATATTTAAAAATGCATTATAAATCAAATTCCTTATTTTTGAGAATTTATATATATTTTTTTGATTTTTTTTGTAAATACCGGTTGATCGCCCTAACCGCCCAAAACCGAAACCGGCTAGTGGCCGGTTCCGATCTAGCTGGACGGTTAACGGTTAGATCAGGCGATTTTGCGAACAATGCATGGGACACACGTCTCAACTTGCATGACCAACATTTTTGTTTTCGGCAATGTGATATACAATAAGATGTGGCCTTGGGAATAGATTACATGATTCTTTGTCATTGGATAGACGTGGTGGAAGGGGACTTCTTTGAATGCCATGGACTAGACTTGGATTGGTGGTTTTGCACCTTAGAGGTTATTGCTTTAGACTGTTGTGTAACACTGTTCTTTGGATATTGTTTTTCTATTTGGTAAGCTTGGTATTTGAACCCTTTGCAATGGGATTGAGGTGGAGAGGTTTGTATTGCCATGCTACATAACAAAACTATTGGGTTTTTGTGGCCTTTAAAGACTTAGAAAGCTTGTAAAAATGTTATTTATAGTGGAATATGCAATTCAGTGGGAGTGTGTGTTGACTGACCCAGGGTTGGGCGGTTTATGACACCATTCGTTTCAAAACCTTTACCCTTGAGCATGTGGCACTACGGAGAAGGATTTGCAGTGAGTCATCCCTTGTAGAGGTCGGAGAGACGCCCAGGGATGATATTTGTAGGTCAGGAGAATTGTGTGGTCTCCTATGTACGGTTGTATGCCTGTGAGAGCAAGGACCAAAGCTTCAACAAACTTCTGCACGATATGTACATATGATAGCCACATTACTGGGAAGCAGTCCTATAAGGGGACACGTGTATGTGTATAGAGAACCCTTTTTGCATTGTGGTGACAAGTGCAAGACTTGCTCTTCAAGGGGAAAAATGTAATCCATATTCCAGAGTCATAATTTCACTGTTTGTTATCCAACTTTGACCAATCATGAGCCCTTGAAATGAGATTGTGGGTCATGGGTTTTTGTTGGGTTGGATAAGAAAACAGTAGTGGATCATGGTTTCTGAGGCTAGTGGAATGCCTTTATTGTCGCTATTTTTTACCCATTGGTACCATTCTACTCTTAGTACATTTTGTTTTCATATTAAAAATGTTTTTATGATTTTTAAGTATTTTTTTTTAAATTTTAAAAAAGTATTTTTGCTCTAAAAACAATTGGCATGGCCCTGGGGGCACGTGGACCCCACTTTAAAAATACACAGTCATATGGGGCTGGATCCTTGATCCCCCATGTGTCATCTATACCCATCCTATGTTTGACACATGGGCCTTAGACCCAGAGTCAACACCATAATCCCACTTTTGGGTTAGCTAGCATGGACCACACGAGCGTGCTCCTTATCGCCGTTGGGATTCGTATTCTTGGGTGCTTTGCAGTGCTTTGCAATACTTTGCAATGTGCCCAAATTTCTTGCAGTTATAGCATTGAGCATTCTTAAAATCGTTCTTCTTAGTTCCTTCTAGTGCATCATACATAAAACCTAAAGACGGGCCTGCCAGCATTAGCCAAGCATATGACCTTGACTAAGGGTAGAAATACTGCTAGCGAGTGCTTTACCCTACACCAAAAAACTTTAGAAATAATAATATAACGGGTCCTCTTTCCTTTAGGATCGCTAGACCACCTACACCTACTCCAATCCCCTAAAGTGAATATAGATCTCAATGGGATCCTCTTACTATATATGCTCTTAAGACTTAGGTAAGCAGTAACAAATCTGGTGACCTCGGGCCTCACTAGCTCCTCCTTTTTTGTGAACTTACGCATCTTGCTACGGGCCATGATGTGGTTGTATGAAGATTATGACCTCTTTAGCCTTCGAAAGATATCCCTTTAATACTATACAAGTTGCCAATAGCCTCAAGCCTAACGTCTATGAAATGTACAGTGCAAGGTGTCCAAAATATGTGAGGCCTCTTCTGGCGAAGCAAATGACCTGCAGCTAAATTAGGTGCATCATTATTTGTGACTACTTGAATTACATGCCCCTTCCCAACCTCCTTAATGCCCTTATCATTAAAAGAGAATATATAAATGGGCCCTTTCATACAAGACCTCTTAGGTCCAAAATCCCTCTTAAAACTCTGAGATACCGACACCTGGACCACCTCCTCTTCCCCTTCATCATCCTCATCAGTGTTATCATCATAAAAGCATATTAACCCTTGCACTCAATTTTGCTATATCCTTCTCTTTTGTTAATCATTTATTCTTTTCAGCTTATATATGTAATCAAGAATCTCTGTTTATAAGATTGAGAACTTTTTTATATGGGGCAACATACCCTCTAATACCAGCAAGATGCTTCTTAAATCTATTTATCCCATAATTCGAAACACGTTCACAAAAATTGCACATTATTTTGTTTTTGTCATATTTTGTCATTTTTAACCTGGTTAACGTATGACTTGCATCCTGGATCCCCACGCTGAGGAAGACATTTCAAGTCCGAAAAAGAAATCTCAAATATTGATTGTAAACTAACCTTTTTGCCTGATCTTTGTTCTTTGATGTTTTTAATATCTTTCGAGCTAAAACTCACTGCAAAAGTCTTCAAATACCTTCACTAGCACCCTACAAAAAAGTCCAACAATAAAGGCTAAGTTTTTGGATGCTTCTTCAAACCTCAGATTCTTTTTTTGATACAAAGAAATATCAAAATCAGTTAATTTGGGGTCTTGTTGGGCTTAGATTCAATTTTTTATTTTATTTTATTTTCTTTCACTTTGGGTGTTTAGAATACCCCCTTTTTTGTGATTTTTGCTGTTCAAATGACCCAAAGTGCCCTTAGGGGCCATTTTTATTTCAAGATACAGGCCTGGCACTCAGGGAGGGCGGCCAAGGCCTGGGCATGTGCCCTAAGGTCCTTTTGGGGCAGGCTGTTGTTTTGAACACGTTGGCAAAACAACAGGCAATCTTTTTGCCATGTTCCTGATAATGCACATATGGCTACTGATGGGCTGACATAGGAAGGCACATGATGTTTGAATCTGTTAGTTTCTTTATAACTTTATTTCCTAAGGTTGTAGCTTGTATGAGATGCTTCATCATCACATTGCTGTCATTTTGTGTGATGCAATCACTTCCTATAAATAAAAGTGTTAGCTTTCCTTGACTTAAAGAAAGTAGAGGCTGTTCTGATATTTGCATGTGATTCTCACACTTGACTTGATAATAGTCTATTGTCTATATGAGTTTTCATTTTGTCTGTAATGCAAATTAAAAGGCATGTACATATTGTCTTATGTTGCTGTTTTTCTCTTTTACTTGAAGACATGGTTCTGGTACAATTCCTTTTGAGATTTGCTGGTTTGGTCAGCCCATGGAGGGATATGAATGTTCATTCATTATCCACACTTTGAAATGATGATTTCTGATGATTTATAATTTTATGTTGTAATAGACATATGGCTGCTGATGGACTGACATAGTAAGGCGCTGGATGTTTGAATCTGTTAGTTTCTTTATAACTTTACTTGCTAAGCTTTTAGCTTGTATGAGATGCCTCATCATCTCGTTGCTGTCATTTTCTATGATTTCCTATAACTAGAAGTGTTAGTATTCCTTGAATAAAAGAAACTAGAGGTTGTTCCGATATTTTCACCTGATTCTCACTCTTGACTTGATAATGGTCTCTTGTCTATATGAGTTTTCATTTTGTCTGTGATGCAAATTAGAAGGCATGTACAGATTGTCTTATGTTGCTGTTTTTCTCTTTTACTTGATGGCATGGTTCTGGTACAATTCCTTTTGAAATTGCTGGTTTGGTCGGCCTATTGAGGGATATAATGTTCATTCATTATCTACACTTTGAACTAATGATTTCTGATGATTTATAATTTTATGTTGTAATATTTCTGCCATAGCTATTATTTTCCTGTTCATTATCTTATTGGTTTAGTGTTGCTTTCATACCCATGTTATTCTCCAATCTGGAAAAACTTAAAAAAATTTAGTTTTGGGTAGAGTAATTTGATTGGCAAATTTTGAAGTAGTGAGGCATCGTATGTTTACCAGTTTCTCCTTCCACCATCATTTTCCCACTATTAAATTCTTTTGACATAATAATTTTTTTCCGTGTACCATACAAGTGCTTCCATCCTTCTCTGGGAATGTTCCTGCTGCATTGAAAAAGAGATTCCCAGCTGCAAACATTACAAGACTCGGTGACTGGTAATTTTTCTTTTCCATTAGAGATGTTCTGTTTAGCTACCTAGCTAAATGGGAACCCATCTTGCATTTACCTTGCTATGATGTAATCATAATCTGTTCTGGTTTCTTATTCAGATTGGAACCAAATGTGTTCCATCAATCAGACAGAAAAATGTTTTCCTATCCATATGATGGCATAAATTTTGTTCATTTCAGGAACACAGTTAATGGAGATACTCGATGGTGCTGTACTTTTCTTCTTGATCCCTCTGATCCTCTATTTATTGAAATTGGTCAGGCTTTTATTCAACAACAGTTCAAAGGTCTGGACTTTTTGTTACAAACCAATGCATTTTAATTCTTATTTGAGGGATCCCTCCTTTTGCATAATTGAAAATTAAAGTGAATAGCTTATAGTGAGAAGAAAATTAAGGTGAAGGGATTTTTTTGGTCTTTCTCGTGTTCTTTTCATTTGGACTGTAATTAGATGTAGCAAAGGCTACCACATCTCTCCTTTATGAATTGGCCAATCCCCCAATGAAAATAAGAAGAAATTCAAATTCTACAACCTTATGCCATGTGCATCTCCATACAAATATAAACTGAGCATCAATCCATGCATTTGTGGCAAAACCACTGACTTCTTGCAACAACTAGAATGCATAGCATAAGTTCATAGATTGGCTTTGCTGGATCTCTTGAACAACATGCACAAATTCTTTGAACAATCCATGCAGTTTCAATCGAATTTATCTTGCCCTTCATTGCTCATATAGTTCTTTTAGTTTCATTTTCTTTTTTTTGGCTTCATGTGATCCTGCTATTTGCATTTTTTATGTGAGGTTACAATTTCTAAAGTGTAATAGCTTCAAAAAAAAAAAAAATCTAAAGTGTACCTTTACTGTAATTGTTGGATTTATCTTTAATGAATTTTAGAATTTTTGTCACATATTGATTGAATAACTGAGATAGGAATTGTTTTATGCTTTGCAGAATATGGAGTTGTCACTCACATATACAACTGGTAATCTATTGTTCTGTTGTTCCCTTGGAGGTTATGCAATTAGCATTTGTCTCCTTAATAGAATGATTTGTTTTTGTAATCGTGGATGGTCAATAACCTTGTAGTTTTCTGTGAATATATGAATAACCTTGTAGTTTTCTGTGAATATATGTGTGTCTTTTCCACCATAATCCGTTTGTATCCTCTTCAGCAATTCTTAAAATTTCCTTAGCCCTTACATCTACTTGTAAGGGAAAAGTGAATAACTTCATTTGTGATGAAGCTCAACAAAGTATCTTGCTAGGAATATCCCTTTTTGTCATTTCTCTATTTTTGTTTGTTCAAAATATATATTTTTCTTTTCCTCCATTAGTTGGCCCTTATGATTTTACTTGTTCAATAATCCATCATTATGGTCATGCAGTGATACCTTTAATGAAAATTCACCACCTACAGATGACCCAACATATATATCTTCGCTTGGGGCTGGGGTTTATGAGGCAATGCACAAAGGAGATCGCCATGCTGTTTGGCTCATGCAGGTACAATGTATTTTGTTTGTACTTGGCTATGCCTAATTTGATGGGTATGTTGTTTGACCTCTGCAAAGGAGCTAACATGCTTTTTGGTTTATGCGTCGTAGAGGATCCAGTGTGACACACCTGAACTTGTTGATGGAGTTCTATTTGTCAAAGTATTATGTTCAATCTGCCATGTATGTGTTAATACTTTACTGCCATGAAATTGTTTATCAGAAGTTTCTCAAGAGATGTGGGCACCTTTTGATTGTCAAATTTGGTCAAATGAGTTTTTTTTTTTTTGAAAGTGGTAGTTGACCAAATTGCAATTTGCTGAGTACTCATTTGTTTTTAGGGGTACTTGACTTTTCTATCTTGTACGGCAATTTTTTTTATTGTGTGATGCGATGGTGGTGGTGACAGCATCTGGTGGCTGTAGTGGTGATGGCGGTGGGGAGGCGATGGTGGTAGTGGCGGTGGCGGAGGTATGATGGTGGTGGTGGAGCAGGTGGAGGGATGACAAGGTAGTCTTAGGGGTGATAGCGTTGTGGTGGTGGTGTCTAGGCAGTGATGGCAGCGGCCATGTGGTGTTGGTAGCAGCAGTAGCGGTGTGGGGGTGGTTGGTGGTGGCACAGTGGTGTGTGGTGGAGCAGTGGTGAGAGGGAGGGAGAGAGGGAGGGAGGGAGCCAATATGTTTTTTTTTTTTGAAACCACTCTGGAAAGCAAATGGAGCTGTAACCTGGTGAATGGCTTCCTTGGTTATGGATTTTCTATTTTATTTACCATATTGCTAGATTGTTGTGGATTGTTATACTGTATATATTCTAAGCAAAGTTAAGTTTTTGGAAGTATTGACTTTTCAATACATGGAAATTGGAGAAACCATTTAAAGTTGAGTACATATTTTGGGGATGATCCTTATTTAGGAAAACTATTATAATGACTTGTATGCACTGAGTTATTAAATTGTTAGCACCGCATAAAAAGATTTCTCCTAGAGTAGCTGTTAATACGAATAACAGAAACTCTGTTATAGCCATTTCTGTACATTCAATGTACTCTACTGATAGAGGAATACATAGAGTTGAACATAGTAAAATACGAAATTGAAAGATTTCGTTGAAATTGTTCGTTTGGAAATTCCCCGAAAAGCTAATCATAGGTTCTTCTCTCCATCGGCATCCTGGCTTTGTGCTTGATTTTCATCATCTTTGTTTGATTTCTTGAAGTTCTTTTTTGATGTGAATTATCATTATTCTGCGATCTCTTGATCCATTTGAGAGTGTTACAGCTAAAAGATGCATCATAGTAATCGACAACTGATGCAATGGGTCTTTTTTAACTTTTATTTTTTTATACTATTTTTAGATTTAATTGTTATTTGGGTTTTTTTAGATTTTAGGTTTAGGGATATTTATGTCTTTTTTGGTTGTAGAGATTTGAGGGGCAAAATAGAAAGTTTTCTACAGTAGTTAGGTAAGATATATTTAGTTAAAGGTTATAGATAAGGGAATTTTAATTTTAAGGGATTTAGTTGACGTAGAGATTGCTTTGATGCCAACTGTCAAAAGTGCTAGAGTTTTTTTCCGTGGCCAACCGTGCAGCCCTAGCTCACAAGCCTAGTTCACTTGGAGCTCTGGTTCAGCCTTACCCAAAACTACCACTACATCACAAGTGCACCAACATAGAACTAGTACACAAGCACACACGCACAAGGGTCTAAGGGCCAAGGCTTAGTTTTATTAGCTCTTTACAATTACAAGAGTATACTGCCATGTACTCCTCACATTGAGCCGAGCAAGGGGTACTTATTGCCCCCAGTTTATATATTCAAAATTCAAATGTACAAAATACACATAACGGTCATGCCACCACCATGACCTCTGCATAGAGGCCCACTCAGTGGGACGGCTATGCCATTCGCCCATATCCCACGTCTCGTGCCAGCAAGGCATACCTGCCCACCACTCTTGGTGGCTGTTACGCCTACTTTCCCACTCCCTCAAATCCACACCACCTGGCTCCTTGATGGGAGGGGTTCAGTTAAGCCAGTCGTCCCACTACTCTAGGGTTTGATTAGACATGTAGGAAGGAAACTTAGAGATATTGTTAGGAGGAGATTAAAATGAGATCGGGAAAGGGAGATTTATTAAGAGAGGGAACAACATGGGACAGAGTGAGAAAGAACCTGGGTAGAGAGAATATTTTTGGGGTTTTATTTTATTTCATTTTGTGTTATTCCCTTCTTTTCTTCTAGTTTGTATTTAAAAGGGAAAGACAACCCTATTATGGATAGTTGGTGAATTAAGTAAAGGAATTGGTTTTGGGTTTTGTAAAAAGATCTTTAGGGTGGACTCCCTTGTAGACCTAGAGAGAAGGTATAATCTCTCAGCCTTTTATTTTTATTTTTTATTTATTATTTTCTCCCTGCATCAACAATCCTCTTAGTAGGAATTTTATAAAGAAATTGTAGCCTTGAGCTGCTAAAATTGCTTCTATATTTGTCTTTGTTTTCTATCATTCACTTTTCTTTGAACATTATCATGTCACATGCATCTCCTAGTTTATACAGAGTTTTCATGATTAGCAGAACCTTAAGAGAATGTCCTTTTATATGTGTGCAGGGTTGGCTATTTTCATCGGACTCTTCTTTCTGGAAACCACCACAAATGAAAGTATGAATTGATTAAATTAAATAATTTAATTGTATAGAATATTTGTTCATTTTTACGAACTTCCTTATGTTTTGGATACTATTTAATGTATATATTGGATTGTTATTCTTGTACTTCCTTGCCTTCAGTATCACAATCAACTAGTTTTCCCCCTGTTGACCACATGATCGTGGCATGCACTGCCTAGATTTTGAAATACTCTTTTTGTCATCATGTGTAATAATTCTTGGCTACATATTTGTAGTGCATGATTAGAATTTGTCTTAAAGTTTTTAAGGGTCTTTTAATTTTGGTGTAATAGCTGTAGGTTATCCAGGAAATTAGTTATTTGAAAGTGTGGATCGAAACAAATAAATAGAATGTAATTGATCTCATTGGAACTTATTGAGAGATTGTTTTTTATCATATCAGATAACCGGTTGTTATATTTTGTTTTCCATTTTGCTGGTTAAGAAAGATGCTTTGGGAGGTAGGATTTCCATTCACAAACATGATACAACAGTCCTGCAACTTGTGAAAGGGACTTTTGCAGTTGTAAACCACAAATATTAGATCAGGTCCTCTCATTCGTTACTCCAAAATTAGTAAGGCCATTAAAAATTCCACATTCCTTTTGTTTCTGTTCATAGCTTTATGCTAATTTGTTGGTCGAGTGGTTCCTGTTTCTTTTTTATTTGCCTAAAGATGCAGCCAATCCCTGAAGGAGTAGGTTTTCCAGCCAATTTGAACTTTACTTGGGCATGCTACGCTGCTTCATAGATCTCGGCTCTGATCTACCATCCTTTGTTAACACATGAGATCTGAAGCCCTAAAAACTTGTCATTCTTAAAATGCTCGGGAAATGGACGTAATCAAATGGGAAACATGTAGAAGCCATGACTTGTGCATGTGAATTGGAAGGAATACAAGGGGAAATACTGGTAACACATGGAAAATATGAGGTAATGTGGGGAAATATAACTCACTAACTGCTGACCTGGGAAAGAAGATCCTAAAAATTATTGGGCATATTTCTCATTAGCTTTTTTTCCTTCTGTGTAGCAAGTTTTGCTTATTACGGCTGGGCCATGGTTGACCTGGGCCTAGCCAGTAATTCAAGGGCCCTGACCCAGGTCTGGCCTGGTCCCTGTAGGGCCTAGCCCAAACCTTGCCTGTTACATAATTGATAGGAGCCACCCCAGCCCAAATAGTATATAATATATGAAAGATGGACCTTTAGCTGTTAACTAAAAAAGTAAGGCATTCTTGGTCAGCACATTCAATTTTAACTCAAAGGGCAGTAGTTCGACTCTAGTCCGGGTGCAACCATTAATTAATAGACTCCACAAAGTGGAGATTTGAACTCACATGTAAGATAATTAGAAGGATTCGTTGATTATCACCATAACTGCTAGAAAAATTACCCACAATTGAGAAAAGAGGTCTAATATGTACATGTGTATGTGTGTGTGTGTCCGCACGTGCATCTGTGTGTGCGTGAGGGAGGGCACATAATGATAAAGGCCCATCCTGCTGGGTCATGCAACCTAGGCCTGGCCCAACCGGATCTCAACGAGTCGAACTTCCTTTGCTTTTATGTCATCACCTCCTTCAATTAGGTTAGTTGTTGCATCTACAAGTTTAAGATCTTCCCATAACCTCTTTATTTTTCTTTGTTTATATGCTACTATCATCTTAAATTATCCTTCCTCTATGTCATTAGTTCCTTTGATTTGGTTAATTGTTAAAATGCATCTACCATTTTAACATCTTCCCATAACCACTCTTGTATCTCTTTTGCTGATATGCTACCATTTTCTAAGATTGCTCTTTGACAATTACTATTGTGTGTCTGTGCTTACAATTTTTCTTTCGTATTTGAACTTCAATTTCCATCATAAGAAAGTGCATTCCATTTTATTCTTGTGATCCATTTGAAGTTCCATCTATCACAAAATTTAGAAAATAACATATATAAACAAATTTCTCGTATTTGGAAGCAAGTTAGTACCAGAGAAATTCCTAAGTTCTATTTGTTGTTCTTTTTACATGTTTTTCTGTTTTTCATTTTTTTTGTGATTATTTTACAAACATCATTGGCATAGTTTTCTTGATTTCTTATCTCATGCTGAATTTGTCTTATTAACCAGAACTTGCAGCACTACCTGCAAATAAAATTGAAGTTATAAAAATTTGAAGTTCAACTTTGCTTACAGCTGATAAATTGGGCATTCTGCCTTACGATATAAATTTAATCAAAGTGGATAGCCTAGATGAAAGACATCCGCTCTTTTTATATTACTGCATCCTTATCCTAATTTGGGATGTGGGTCTCACAGGCACTCCTCCACTCTGTTCCCTATGGAAAGATGATAGTCCTCGATCTATTTGCTGATGTCAACCCCATATGGAAACGTTCTTCCCACTTTTATGGCACTCCATATATCTGGTAGCCCTTAATGTTTTAGTCGAGATTTTAGTTTCTCATCTTAAGATTACTTTTTTTTTTGGCCATTGTGTAGTTGACTTGTAATGCATGTTCACATGGCACTACATACGCTTTGTTTAATATGTAACTTCATTCTACTTGAAACCCTTACTACCAAATTTATTCTACGTCTGCATTCATAAAATCAGGTGTATGTTGCACAATTTTGGAGGTAACATTGAAATGTATGGGACATTTGATACAGTGTCTGCAGGACCAATTGATGCTCATGTTAGTCCGAACTCTACCATGGTATGTTATTAGTATCTTTTTCAATATTTTCAAAGTTCTTTGGGTATTCTGTCAATTAGATTATAATGGGAGGTAAGATGTTGTCATGATCTCATGAAGATACCTGTCCTTGAAATTATGGAACCCTTTGCATACTAGATTCAGTTGCAACATTAGACAAAAACCATGTTAACATACAATGGCATGGACCCTGAATTATTGATTGTAATCTATTGTGTGCATCAACTCTCAAAAGAACATATTTGTTATAAAAGAAAATAATCTGCCCGTCTCAAGAAATTGCCTAACATCTGGATACCGCAGTTGCATTCTACCCTTTGTCTCATATTAGGATTATTGAAATATCGAACTTGGAAATCTTGGTTGTCCTCTTATATTATTTAGTCCTTGGTGATGATGTGTTTTTGTGACCCAGTTTATTGCATTCTGTAATGTAGATTGGTGTTGGAATGTGCATGGAAGGGATAGAGCAGAATCCTGTTGTCTATGAGCAGATGTCTGAGATGGCATTCTGGAATGAAAAAGTTAAAGTGGAGGTAAAAGATCTTTTGCTTGATGATTGTGGAGTGTCTGAGTCATTCTATATGCCGTCCTGTGAATGTTAAATTGTTCATTTTCGGCTTCACATGCACAGCTATGACAATCTTAAATGAATTTCTTGGCTTTACGAAATGCGCACCTCATTATCATCATCATCAGCAGAGCCTTATCTTAACTATTTGGGGTCGGCTACACAAATCATGTTCTGCCATTCTGCTCTAATCTATCAAGGGCCATACCCTTTGTTAGACCAGAAGTCACCATATTTGTTCTCACTACTTCTATCCATGTCCTTTTGTTCTTTTCCTTTTCCTTTCAGAGCCTTCTACTTGAACCAAATTACCCCCCCTAGTTTGACACCACACATGGATAAAGTAAATAAACACTAAACTAAAAACCAAAAAAAGATTAGTTTGCCACTTTTGTTATCCTTGTACTCAAAACTCTTTGTAGCACATTTGCTGACACTGTCGCATGCTTATTAAGTCATATCCCTCTCATCTGAAGACCATGACAACTGGTTCTCCTTTTCTGAATATATTCATCAGAAGCTGAGCACTGTGCCTCGAATTTTGGACTATACAAGTTTCTATTGCTCTCAAAATTAATTTCTTAATGTTTCATTATGCTGTTCTCATTCATAACATTGCATATAAGTTCTATCTTATTCGTGATTTTCATGCTTATCAAACTATGTACCTGCATTGTAATTTCAGGCAATATTGTGTTGATATTCTTGCGTACTATATAAACCCTCAAATTGTAGCTTCATTGATGGCAAGGTTCTCACTTAGTTCATGTTTTCTGTAGGAATGGGTTAGGAATTACTCTCATCGACGTTATGGTAAAAGAATTAAGCAAATCGAGGCTGCTTGGGATATTCTTTATCACACAATTTACAACTGTACAGATGGAATAGCTGTAAGTTGCAGCAAATGAGAAACTTTATTGTAATTTATGACAGCTTCCTATCACACTTCATTTTGATGATTGCAATTATGTTATGTAGTACAAAAGGCATTTGGAATTTATGAACTTTTGTTGAAAGACTGAAGATTATTGGACTAAAACGGGTTAGGTCGACCAGACTGTGTCTGCGTCTGGACTTGGGCATTGGACAGGACCAGTCGGGTCTAGGTCCGGCCTGGACCAGATCAGATCGGGTTTGGGTTGACTATACCCGATCCAGCCTAGTATATGTATGTGTGTGTTTGTGTGAATACACATGCACACATATGTAATTTGTATATTGAAATATAAAAAATATTTTATATATACTATTCTATTTTAATATTTTTATGCCATGGCGCTGATCCAACCCGACCCTGTGGCTCAGTACCACCAGGTCCAATTGACTTGGATCCAACCCAAGTCTGGATATCACCCAGTAGGTCCAGGTCTAGGTTGCCTAACCTCACCCAATTACAGTCCAACTAATTTTACAGTTTACTAGATAGGTTACCATCACCTGACATTCACAAATTTTAAACCCTGTTTCTCATAGAAAATATGGTAAAAAACCTGGAATACGAATGGGTATGCTTTATATTATCCGGACTTCGACTTTTACCAGCTACATTGGATTTTATTCTTTATATGTCCATGGTGAGAGATCTTACTTGGACTCTGTCTAAAATATTTACATTCAGTTCTGATTTCTGGGTAGATCATTTGTCTGTAGTTTAAAATCATGTTGAGATCACTATAATAGCTGATCATACTCTTTTACAAATAATGGACCAGGACCATAACAATGATTACATAGTTGAGCTCCCAGACTTTGTTCCAACACTAAAGTCAAATACGCAGAATGCAATTGGAGGTCAGATGATAAAGGCCTCCTCATCGGAAAGAATAAGAAGATTCTCATTTAGAGAAACGAGTTCTGATTTGCCTCGTCCACATTTGTGGTACTCTCCTGGCAAGGTCATTCATGCTTTGAAGCTTTTCCTTGATGCTGGAGACCTACTCATTGGAAGCCTCACATACAGGTTGGATGCCTAGAGGGCTTTATTTTTTGGAAAAATATCCAAAGTTACCTGAAACACCAGTACAAGTGGTCTAGAAACCTGAAATATCATGATAGTGCCTAAGATTCCCATAAATAAAAAGTACCTTACGATGGTTATTTTGCCTTGCCCTTTATCTGGTAATTCTGAAGTGGAAAGCAAGGACAAAGTAACTTGTATGTTGATATGTCTTGTATTTCAAACACCCAACCAGGGCAAAAATAATCCTTTTCAAAGATAGCTATCAGCATAAGTGTTCCACAAAATAATCCGTTTCAGAGGTAACTATCAGCATCTGTGTTCCATCTTGATATTTTATGTTTCTGGGCTACCACATGATCTATGCAGGTGTTATTGTCCTAAAAATTTGCTGTTTCCCCTTTTTGCCTTTGTCATTTATGTCATCTATGTGGAAATAATTGGGCTTTCTACATCTCCTATCCTTTTATGGACATTGGTCTTGTTATGATCAGGTACGACTTGGTGGACCTAACTCGGCAGGTGTTGTCAAAGCTAGCAAACCAAGTTTATGTAGATGCTTTGACTGCTTATCATTCCAAGCATGTTGAGGAGCTCAATGTTCAATCCCAAAAGTTTATTGAGTTGATCAAAGACATTGACATGCTTCTGGCTTCTGAAGATGGCTTCTTACTTGGACCATGGCTAGAAAGTGCAAAGAATCTTGCAAGAAGTCCAGGGCAACTGAGGCAGGTATGGAAGAAGGGCTACTTATTGGTTTTAAGGGCTGCCATTAATGTGATGACTTGGATGACATGAAAACTCTTACATGAATCCTCATACATGAGCATATAAATTTGGTTATTGATTCTGACACTCCCTAAGAAATAGCAAGGTGGGTCCATGGTAATTTTGGTTTGAGAATAGTGTATTAACAGCATAGCTGCACATGAAACTTGTGGTGATAAATAATCTTTTCGGGATCTCTCTGATAGTTGATTTCTGACATGATTATTGAATATTTGATTCTTCTAGAGAAAAATTCAAGAAATCTTTTGGAAAAAGAGAGTATGGAAAAAGGGAACCTCTAAAGTGAGAAAAAGAAAAAAATGATAATTTAGTTTTCTATTTTCAAAATTCCTTTTGTATGTAGTCTCATATATAATATTTAAGCATCTGTTAATTTATGAAAAAGTTTATATAAACCAAGAATCCTCAAATTGATCATCTCGACTTCAAGATGTATAGACATGAGGAAAAAATGGATTTCAAGTAGTGCATCTTGTAATGCATTTTCGGACCGTCAATTTTCAAGTTTTTCAAGTGTTCATAGATCTGCTCGATCCACAATATTTTTTAAGCTTTAAATTTTATAATTAGAGATGAAAATAAATTTTAAGGCCATCACAAAGATTTCCAGTTTTGAAACATCTTTCAACATTATTTCCAGGTGAGCTTTATTTTGATTGTTTAAGACCTTGGCCCTATACAAACCGCACCTGTTAATTTATAGAAAGATTCAAGGAAAAAATAGAAGGTTGAGGGAAAGAATTCATGAAAAACAGTAAAATTGAGGTAAAGAAGATCATATTCTGAAAGGTGTCTGCTTTTTAGGCAATATTTCTCGAAAATGTATTTTTTTTCTTCACAACTTTCCTTGAACAATATTGCTGTATTCTGCAACATTTCGGAAGAGTGAATTGAATTGTCACTGGGGAACTTTGTATTTCTCCCAAAATGAATTCTGAATTACTGACTATGAAATTTCATGCTTTCAATGTGCGGTTCTTTTCAGTACGAATGGAATGCAAGAACACAAGTCACAATGTGGTACGATAACACGAACACCAACCAAAGCAAACTTCATGATTATGGTATTTTTCCATGTTCTCCATTTGTCTCTCATATTCTCTTCTCCATAGTAGAGTGACACATTAGTTAAATAAAGATCACTGACTTGATTCGATCTCTCCAGCAAACAAGTTTTGGAGTAGCTTGTTACGGAGCTACTACCTTCCTAGAGCTTCCACTTACTTCGATCATTTGTTGAAAAGTTTGAGAGAGAATCAGAGTTTCCCATTGGAGAAATGGAGAAGAGAGTGGATATCATATTCTAACAACTGGCAATCAGGCACAGAGCTTTACAGCGTGAAAGCCCAAGGAGATGCCTTCAAAATTTCTAAGGATCTGTTCAAAAAGTACTTGGAGCCATGATTGTCTGTGCCAAGCTTCACTAAAAGTGAAAAACATTGCAGCATTTGAACAGGTATATCTTCTCCAATAAAACCCTGTATTTATTTGTGATTCTGTAGTTTTTAAAGTTGGTTGCTATGTTGTTTGTAATTTTGAACTGTTCATAGTGGGTTCTTCCAGTAATGAATGCCTGTATTTATGGTACGGACGATGTAATAATAGACTCTTAAACTCCAGTAATATGTGTGTGTTAACACTAGAGACCATGTAACAATAAATTATTTGTTTTCACATGATCTCTCTCTCTCTCTCTCTCTCTCGAGCGTGATTAGTTTTCATATTATCTCTCTTTCTCTCTAACTCGAGCGTGATTAGTTTTCATATTATCTCTCTCTCTCTAACACGCTATATAGTGCCTGAAGATGTTGGGGTTGTGTCTTTTCCTTTGTTCCTTGTTTTCTCTCTCTAGGTCCCGTTGTTTTTTGTCGTCTAAGACACCATAAGGTTTCTGTCGAGCACCCAGCTTTTAAGTGTTACATTATTGATATGTTATTTGACCTAAAATGCCAAAGAAAGTCCTTTTCCTTTTCTTTTTTTTTTCTCCCAGTGGGAAAAAGTATGACCCACTCATGCGTCCACCCTATTTTTGGAGGGTTCAGGGCTAGAAATACATCCCAAATCTTTGTAAATCTATTTCTCTTTCGGATCTGTGAATTTGGAGCTGTAGAATTTATGTAGGTGTGATGATTTCTGAAGAATCAAAACGAATAATCCATAAAAACTTTAAAATAGAGCATTTTAAGGCTGGATTTTTTCCTTTTTATTATCATATTCATGATCGTGGTGACCTAGATAATAGATCTGTGAAATTTTGGATCCAACATCCATCTCCAAGATGAATTTCGGGACAGTGAACTCATTGTAACACGTGCATCCGAGGATACACCTAAACCCCTACCCTATATATAATATAATACTTCATCACCGGTCGCCTAACATGCAACCACATGCAAGACTTGTTCGTATTTTATCTGTTCTTTATTCTACCGCAAGCATGGAAGTTGGAACCACAAGTTAGGGCACGAGGCTCAGAGATCCGAAGTCCCAATCATTTTTGCTTCAGATACAACTTCGTCAGTTTTCATTCTTTGTTTTTCTATAGATTGAGAATGTCTTGCACCTTTTTAATATATGAGAGAGATAGAGGTGGCTTAAAAATTCAAAGGAGCGAGAGAGAGGTGGTTTGGCTTAAAAATCGGAGGAGTGAGAGAGGTGTTACTTCGAAATTTAAAGGACCTTTCAAGGGTTTTGCGTATCATTGTGAAACATTCATTGGATGGTGTTTTTGTGGGGACATTCGTGATTCAGGCATAATGTCCTACCCTGCATTCCTTAACATACCAAAAGAAAGAGAGAGAGAGAGATTGGGATGGCGTTTTTGTGGGGAGAGAGAGAGACAGAGAGAGAAGGGTGACTTAAAAATTCATGGACTTTCATGGGTTTTGATTACATGTCCTTGTAAAAGTAGGCATTGTTTTTGTGTAGGGAATCTAGACAATTGGGTTTGTGTCGGCATGGGAATATGACAGCAAAGGACCAGAATCCATACCTTACGCTATTATCTTTGAAGCAACCCCCTATTGCTTCGCTCCTAACCAACCCCCCCTTTTATTTACGTGGCCCACCAACCACCCCTTGCCTTCTTAGGCAATAATTGATTTGCTTTTTCACATTTTCCAATTTGGTTTACATGGGTACGCCCTCAAAATTTTAAACAAATGTTTTTTTTTTTTCTCTCACTTACCATCATGTTTTACCATGTTTAAAAAAGGAAAAGTATGGATTAAGATGGTTTATCTTTGGTTTGAAAAAAGTATCTTTGATGCAAGGAGGTCACGATTATTGACATATATATATTTTTTGATTTATTGGTGGCTGATAGATTTAAAATCAAAGTGATGAGAATATAAATTATTAACCAAGCTCAACGTTTTTTTTTTTAAAAAAATCTTGATTATTGCAACGCATCCTAAGCTTTAGGAATTGACATTTGATGGTTTAGAGTAATTGTGATTTCCTTGAAACAATAAAAAATAGTCATATAATATACGATCCCCCAAAGAAAAGGAGTGGGCTCAATCCGCTAAGCGTTGAGTGCCCTCTGCCTAAGTGGGTCATCTCCAAGTTGGATAGGGTAATTTATTTTTATTTTTATTTTCTTTTTGAACATTTGAGGTGGATTAGGCAATTTTTTAAGTAAAAAATATTTATACCATGAAAATCTTAGGAGGCTCAAGCGGTACTGGGGTATTTAGTCTCGGAATTGCTTGGATCCCGATCCCGTTCTTCTTGGGCAGGTCGTGGTTAAACAAGCATTTTTCGGACCACGATCATGTGGAGAAGTATGCAGGCGCAATATCATACATCTAATAATGAGAAATTTTAAAGTGTCCCAGGTTTATTAAATGTATGAATGGTATTTTTTAATTTGAGGTGAGCATGAAACAAATTAGAAGTAAAATTATTGGGATGATTATCATAATACCGAAATGTTTAGACGTAAAATTAGTACTCCAAATATGTGGTTACGAATTGCTGTTGTCGTAATTTGGGGTAAACATACAATTCGTGATTTGGGCATTTTGGGAAGATTACATTCTATTTAACTAGTCAGGTTAGTGCAAGGTCTGGGCTTCGTATGCGCCTCAAAACCTACGAACACTCTAAGTTTTACTGCTCGAAATCCATGGCTTGAAAATCCATTTTTTGCTAAATATTTAATTTGAAGTTGTAAAGGTTGTACAGGTTTAGCATATCTGGGGACACTTAAAAATGGACAATCCAGATTTAGTATGTTTGAGAATACTTTAAAATGTAAAGTCCTGATTAAGTGTCATTGAGATATACTATTACAAATGAAGTTTATTTTTTCTTTTCAAATTTATGTTTGTTGAGGTTGAGATGATCAAATGAGAGTTTTTCAATATCATAATCGCAATTTCCAACTGCACTTTTGACCTTTATATTTTATCGTAAAGCCAAGGACTTATGCCAACTTTTTCCTTTTTTTTCAATAAATCTATGTCCATTTTGGTTAGCTTCACCTTAAATATCTCGCATATAGAAAGTGAGAAGAATTGTTTCAATCTTTACATTTCTTTCTTTGTTAGATTGTGAGGGTATCTCAACCTAAATATTATTTAGAATAATTATCAAAATACCTATTAGAGACAATTTACTCATTTGTAACTATTCCAAGTATAGATGATGCGTCTTTTGATATGTATTTAAAATTAAATAAAAACATGTGGGTAGAATGTTAAAACTTCTATGAAGGGTGTTTTCATAAACTTCCCATATTTGAAAGCGCATGAGTCATAAGTCCAGGGTTCAAGACGAAGGATTTAAAAAGGTACGGGAAGGTTCTAAAAAAAAATACAGATGGAAGTAGGGACAAGAAATATAATAACTTAGGGTATGACCTTAAATATAGCGGAATGACATAATATGATTCATATAATTGTCCATAAATGGTCGGGATTAGGTTCGGATGATGACCATGATCATGATCATGAATGATAAGTCAAACTGTAAAACCAATTTCGAAGTGAGACGCATACAATTCTGTTAATGAGAGATATAGTTTAACCCTCAATCCGGTATGTAGGCTGAAAAGAGCGCATGCTTAATTGGATAGTGCTTGATGATTTACAATGCTACGTCCTAGGTAATTCCTACCAAAGGTAAGAGCCCTCTCCCTATTGACTCACCCAAAAAGCCTCGATGAAAAGGGAACAGAGTATGAAAACCAGAAATTGGGTTTAGGGTTGCCCGCCACTGCTGACTCCGATAAAAAATCTGGATCGACTGAAATGGTATAAAGATCTATAAAAAACTGTGTAAAATTGTTGCATAAGTCATCGGGCGCACAAAAAATATAAAAAGCATGTGAACAGTGCACAAAAAAATTATATCTTTAATTTTAAAATTTTATTTTTGTTTTCATATTGGCCTGGATGATAAATCCATAAACCAATTAGATAAAAAATCCATTTTAGAGGGAGGCCTCATTTGTATCTATGATTCGGTTGACTCATAGAAGCCCCATCCAAGAAATATTGGGGAGATTCCCAAGGGAGAGATTGGATTGCCACTCCTATCCGACAAAGTGAGACTTGATTTAGATCGTCCGGTCTTAATACAATTAGAGCTATTTCGAAGTGCAAAAGAGAGAAGAATGTGTAGAGGTGTTCGAAAACTTGAACCGGCTGAGGGAGGGTACCGAGTAACTCTAAACCGGCCTAACCGAGCAAGTTTCGAACGATAAAAAAAGTGTGAAAAAATAAAATAAAATAAATTAAAAAATATGAAAATATATTTAAAGCATGATTAAACAAAACACATCCAATAAAATTGAAAATGAGTAAACAAATTTAATTTTAAAAAACCTATTTGTGTCTAAGGATATTTTTTTAAATAAACATTTGAAAACTCATTCCAAACAAATCTTTCATTTTTTGAGATTTTCTATAAAAAAATTTGAATTGTTTTTTAAATACCTGGCTGGATCACTAAAATCAGCTAGTGACTAGTTCTGATTTGAACCAAAAAATTTTAAAAACACGGGTAGAGAGAGCAAAGGGGATTATAGAGAAAAGATTTAATTGACAAAAACTCGTATGAAAAAATGTAATTTACTTCAATAACCGTGTCACAGAGACCCGGGAGAGTTTCACCCTCTCAGGCTTGTTTGGATGGAAGCATGGAGAGGTAGGTTTTTAGGGGGGCCCATCTAATTAGTATGAATCGTTATGCCTGAGTTTTATTAACCAGTGAAGAGCGGATTTTGCAGCCGATCTTGAGTGAGATTGGTCCCGACTCTAGCTGTACACACTCTTTCCCTCTCTTCTTTATAATAACGATAAGGCTCATGGTTCAAAATTTAAAAGGAATTGACATACCCAAGCTATCTGAATTCACGTAAGATGGTTATAAATAATTGTGATTAAAAAAAAAAAAACTATTATTATATCAAAAGTAAATAATCTCGTTGTCTAAAATCTTAAAAGAAAAATATATAATGTGATCATTTATCTTTGGTACAATGTGGTCACAATTAATCTTGATTATTAGATATGAAATTGGGTGGCTTTATTTATTTCATCGACCAAGCTCAAAATTCATTTTTTTTTTTTAAACTTTATGATATACCCAAGCGATCAGATTTCACATCGCAGAGTTGCAAATAATTACAACTTGCATGTGCCGATGATAAATGGTATCATTATATGAAATCTTAATCCCGAATGGCTTTATTTATTTCATCGACCAAGCTCAAAATTCATTTTTTTTTTTTAAACTTTACGACATATCCAAACTACGATTTCACATCGCAGAATTGCAAGTAATTGCGACTTGCATGTGCCGATGATAAATAGTATCATTATATGAAATCCTAATCCATGAACGGCCTTTTGCAGTCAATCGTGTTACTCTTCGGACAAATGTAATTTATTTCAAAATTCCAAAATCTAGATGCTAACAAACCGGGTCCAGTCCTTCAGTGGGGCTCAAGGAACATATCGAAAAATTGACCAAATACCAGCAACAACGACTCACAGATCAAAGTACCCCATTGCACCGCACCCAGTTGAAAAACCCGAGAACCTTTTCTGACTGTAAAGAACCAAATACAACTCTTCTTCCCACCCCTCTCCCTCTCTCTTTTATCTCTCCAAATTACCGGAAACTGAATCCTTTGGCAAGTAACATGGGAGTGATCTCTACCTACAATACTAATTGCAGGAGTATTTGCCCCATCAACAGGAGACGAAGCAGAAGAAAGACCTCCATTCTTCTCAGGTAAGAGAGAGAGAGCGCTCCATTCTCAACCAAATCCACTACCACCCAAGATCATAGTGCTAGTGAGAGAGAAAGAGAGCTCCATTCTCAATTGAATCAACAACCACCCAAGATCAAGTGCTAGAGAGAGACTCAAGAGCCAGAACTAAAAGAGAAGTGCCCATTTTCCTGGTTAATTAAGAATAAGAACAAGTAGAATAACTAACAGAGAAAGAGAGAGAGAGCTGAAGCCAAAATGATGGTCCAGGACAGATCTGCTCCCAAGCCCACGAAGCCTCGAATCAGAGCCCCACCATCCACAACTCATGAACACTCATCTCTGGACACTCTCTGGTCATGCTCCATGACACCACAAAAACTCATCTTTCTCTCTGTAGCGATTGCCACCGCTCTCCTCCTCCTCTTCCTTCGGAAAACAGGCGATACAGCTGCTTTCCTCTGCTTCCAAAGCGCCTCTGTCCACCCCAAAACCACCATCACAGTACCCTCCATCTCTTTCTCACTCATACCCCGAATTCCTGATCCGACTCGCTATGCCCCATTCAAATCTGAGCGTTGGATTGTCGTCTCGGTCTCATCCCCACCCACCGATGCCCTACGCTCTCTCTCTCTTTTAAAAAGCTGGCAACTTCTTGCCATTGCCACTTCTGAAGCTCCCCCTGATTGGTCCCTCAAAAACACCATCTTTCTCTCTCTTGACGAACAAGCCCAATTGGGCTATCGAATCCATGGCCACCTGCCCTACAATTCCTATATTCGGAAAAACATTGGTTATCTCTTTGCAATTCAACATGGAGCAAAGAGAATTTTCGACGCAGATGATCGAGCTGAGGTTATAGGTGGAGACCTTGGAACCCACCTTGATCTTGAGCTTGTTGGTGCGGAAGCAAAGAAAGACTTGCTTTTACAGTACAGCCATGAATTCTCGAATAGATCAGTCGTGAACCCATATGTTCATTTTGGGCAAAGGTCAGTTTGGCCAAGAGGATTGCCTCTTGAGAATGTTGGGGAAGTGGGTCATGAGCCTTATTACACAGAGATTTACAGTGGTCGCCAATTTATACAACAGGGGATCTCCAATGGCCTTCCTGATGTGGACTCTGTGTTTTACTTCACTCGAAAATCAGCCAATGAAGCTTTTGATATTCGTTTTGATGACCATGCTCCTCGTGTCGCATTGCCCCAGGGTCTATTGGCGCCTGTGAATTCTTTCAACACCTTGTTTCAGTCCCAAGCTTTTTGGGGTCTCCTGCTTCCAGTTTCAGTGAGCTCCATGGCGTCTGATATCATTAGGGGATATTGGGCACAAAGGATCCTATGGGAAATTGGAGGCTTTCTTGTATTTTATCCTCCCACTGTTCAAAGAGTCGATAAATATCAGGCCTACCCATTTTCAGAGGAGAAGGATCTCCATGTAAATGTAGGGAGGCTTGTGAAATTCTTGATTAACTGGAGATCCCAAAAGCACAGCCTTTTTGATAAGATCTTGGAATTGAGCTATGCAATGGCTGAAGAGGGGTTTTGGGGTTCAAAGGAAGTGGAGTTCACAGCTGCTTGGCTTCAAGATTTGGTGGGTGTTGGGTATTTGCAACCGAGATTAATGGCTTTGGAGCTCGATAGACAAAGAGCGGTGATTAGCCATGGAGATCATAGGGAATTTGTTCCATTGAAGCTTCCCTCTGTTCATCTTGCTGTTGAAGAAGCAGGGGCTGTGAATTATGAGATTGGGAACCTTATTAGATGGAGGAAGAATTTTGGTAATGTAGTGTTAATCATGTATTGTGGTGGACCAGTGAACAGGACACTGGAATGGAGAATGTTGTATGGTCGTATTTTCAAGACTGTTGTGATTTTCTCAGAAGTAAGCAACGCGAAGCTTGGAGTTGAGTATGGCCAGCTATGGCAGGCCTACAAGTATGTAAATCCTACACTCTCTGTTATCCCCCCTTCCCCCCCCCCCTCTCTCTCTCTCTCTCTCTCTCTCTCTCTCTACTACTACTACTCTCTCTCTCTACTACTAACTACTAATATATATACTAATAATAATAATTAATTACTACTACTACTACTATCTCTCGTCTCTACTATTACTTACT